GAATAATTTAAGAAATCCTCCCAGAACTGTCTGGCCAGCATGGCTCAGTAATTGAGCATTGGCCTATGAATCAGGAGGTCACAAGTCGATTCCCGGTCAGGGCACATGCCTGGGTTGCTGGCTCAATCCCCAGTAGGGTGCGTGCAGGAGGCAACTGATCAATGATTCTCTCTCATTGCTGTTTCTCTCTCTCTATCTCTCTCTCTCTCTCTCTCTCTCTCTCTCTCTCTCTCTCTCTCTCTCTCTCTCTCTCTCTCTCTCTCTCTCTCTCTCTCTCTCTCTCTCTCTCTCTCTCTCTCTCTCTCCCTTCCTCTCTGAAATCAATAAAAATATATTTTATTTTTTTTAAAAAAGAAATCTTCCCAAAACTAAAAGACATGAGTTTCTGGATTGGAGAGGCCTACCCTTGAATATCCTCAAGTGCATAAGGCAAAATACTGGCATAAAAATCTATCAAAATGGAATGTAAAAACATTGGGAGCAACAAAAATAGTCCAAAAAATTCCAGGAGAAAAAGAAAAACACAGCATTCTATTGATAAAGAAGTGGAATCAATTCTAGTTTCCTAATAGCAACATTGGAATCTAAAAGACAATCCTTCGAATTTTGAGGGAAAATAATTTCATATCTAGAATTCTGTAAATACATGTAAATACATGACTGAAGAAATTTTCAGTCATGAGATGTCTCAAACTTTAGCTCTCATTCATCCTTTCTGAGAAAGCTCCTGGAGGATGTGTTCCACTAAAACAAGAATATGCACCAAGAAAGAACACAGAGGGGCCTAATCAGAGAGAGGGGAGTGGGAGTTGCAGGAGGATGTTGCAGAAGGAGCCCGGAGTTACAACAATGCAGCATGTTTAGAAAATAAACTGGAGCCTCTCAGGAGACTTAAAATATAAAATTGGCAGATGATTTAGTAATTCCATAGGAAACTAAGCAGACACACAAAAACAGACTTTTTTTTAGCCCCAAGGAAAACCAGTAGGGCGAGAAAGGAAATGTCATCGTAGGAGCCTGTATGGCTCAGCTACAAATAATTTTTAGAAGGTAATAATAATGTAGACACTAAATACTACTGAGCTAACCAAAAATTATAATGCAATCATCTTGGAGGGGAGACTGGAAGGAAAACTTGAGTGTGTGGTTAATAGGGAGTTGACGAGAACTAAATCAGCATCTTCTTCTGGGATGGTAAGAGATTAAAATCTAAAACTGAAAAAATCAAAAGTAACATGGGACTTAGAGGTATGAGGTCAAATACCTACAGAAACAGCGGCAAGCGCGTTGAAAACAGTTGCCTCTGGGCAGTGAGAAATGGGGAGAAGGAGACAGTAAGTCTGGTTTGTACTGACACCTGGAATTTTCTTACTTTGTAAACAATATAACTGTATAACTAACTTACATAAAAATAACATGTGTTCAAGAAAAGTGATTTCTCTCTGGCTGATCCTACACTACATAACAACGGGTTTTATTTGCAAAATAGAGATTGCACCTTCATTTTTGTTGTTCACAAGGCTCCCGCTACTCCCAAGGTTTTCAGCATTTCCACAGGGCAGCCTACAGCGCTTCTTCCCCGCTGCTGGGTCAGTTATTTCACTTATCCTGGGTTCTTTGCTTAAAAATTCTGCTGATCAACCATTTGGTCATTTCCCCCAGCCTAATTCTAAAACTAAATGACTCTCTTCTGATTAAACACAGCTATCTCTACAGTAGTCATGCAGGCCCAGAGTAATGACACATTATTAACTACAGGCCTGGTGCACAAAGTTTGTGCATGGGGTGGGGGCTGTCCCTCAGCCCAGCCTGCACCCTCTTGCAATCCAGGTGATTTGCGAGACCCCTCAGGGGATGTCCGACTGCCGTTTTAGGCCCAATCCCACAGTGGGACCAGGCTGAAACTGGCAATGAGACATCCCTCTCGCAATCCGGGACCGCTGGCTCCTAACTGCCTGCCTGCCTGCCTGCCTGCCTGCCTGATTACCCCTAACCACTCTGCCTGCCTGCCTGATTACCCCTAACCACTCACCTGCCTGCCTGATTGCCCCTAATCGCCTCTGCCTTGGCCCCCGCCGAGGCGGCTTTATCTGGAATGCCTGCCTGTGCCCCTAATCGCCTCTGCCTTGGCCCCCGCCGAGGCGGCTTTATCTGGAAGGACGTCTGGAATGACATCCAGAAGGTTGTTCAGCTGTCCGGTCTAATTAACATATTATACTTTTATTATATATTAGTTTTTCTTTCTACAGTACAGCATATAGCCAAATGAAATTTTAGTCATATTAGTATTTGAGATGGCGGCATGGTTAGTTTCTACCTTTTAAAAGATTCAAATATTTGTATCTGATTTTGAAGATGAACTTAAGTCCAAAAAAAGTGCTAAAATGTGACCTCCAAAGGTGGCGGGGGTGGGGGGCAGACTCTCTAGCTGTATGATGTTTAATATGGAATTTTCAAAGACAGAAACACAGTCCATTGCATCTTCACACTTGAGTGAGCACCCATCAGAACCCCGGACCAGCAGTGTGAAGGGCCTGACTCTTGGGCCAGCTCTCAATTTCACAGAAGAGGAAGGGCCGCCTCAGAGCAGGTAAGTGACCGCCCAGGCCAAGCAGCTGCTGAGTGGAGAGGACACAGCAAGCCCAGAGCACCTGCCTCTTACCCCCGGTCCTTCCCCAGGACACGGCTGGCCTTCCAGTGGCAGTGAGGATCACCATGTATACAGACTACCAGCCACTGTGATAACGCTTCACGTTCACTGTGCACCACGCACCTGGCGCACTTCCTGTGTTCGCTCATTTAATCCTCCCAACATCCCTAAGATGGGGGTGCCCCTACGCCTCCCACTTTACCTTAGGAATCTGAAGTTTAGTAGCAGCCCAAGCTCCCTCTCCAGTGAAGGCCTGAGCCTGGACAAAGGCTCTGGAAATCAAACCCCATTGAACCCAGTTAACCCATTAACTGCTTATGGCAGAGTAATGGCGATTAACAAAAGGGAAAAGATTCCCAGAGAGAGCCATGTCATCAAGCAGCTCTCTCTCCTGGGGGTAGGGAATTTCGGGGAGAGGGGGAGAAATTGTTCTGTATTTCTGACATCTGCCAAGTCACGGTTAGAAATACACTTTAGAGTAGGAATGGTACCCTTTGTCCCCTGTAAAATACACAGGTCAGCCAAGAAAACTTCCACCACTGAACTCAAGTTTAGACGAAAAGGAGCAAAGACTGGGTACATGGGCGATGCTTTTGTAATGAAAAGCTAATCCGCAGCAACAGGCTGTAGTCCAACCCCTCGGAAGCCCCCAGGCCCACCAGGGCACAGTTGCCCTCCCTGCTGCCTGGGCTCAGCCACCCCTTGTGGGGCTGAGTGGCCCCTGGCTGAGATCTGCCCTAATCTGGGATGACAGGTCCCCTGGGCCGGGAACCGAGGCCATGTGCTCAGGGACCACCCCGGGCACTGAGACCTTCAGAGCAGATCTTGAGGGTTGGGGGACACACCCACCCCAGCTAGCCCTGGGAAATCTCCAACTCCTAGCTCCCAGGCTGAGCCTGCGGTTCCGGAGGCCAGAGCAGCCCCGCATCTGCAGGAGCCCGCAGGAGCCCTCAGGGGCCCGCAGGAGCCTGGAGCGCTGGAGGCAAGAAGCAGATGTGGGCTGCTACACCGGCCGGGCGTGGCCAGCCCGCAGCCTAGGAGACAAGCACCCTTTTTCATAATCAGCGCAGCCGGCGCGCCCGCCTGGCTGGCTGGCAGGGATTCTGCGCAGACCGCCCGGAGTTCGAAAGCTCAAAACTTGGCCACGCACCCCCACTGTCAACACCTCCCCCCCTCCTCGCGCTGAAGCGTGTGCTGCCTACGAGGCTGAGTGGCCAACTTGGGAAGGGCGGTGGCCGCTGCGCCATCCTCCAGGCCCCTCCACCCCCTCTCACCGGCTGCTGACACCTCCCGGCTCCCACGGCCAGCGCCCAGGTGCCGCTGACCGTGCCCAGTCGGGGGATAGCCCTGCACCTGGCTCAGCCCTGGCCCCTCGGCCGCTGGGCGTGAGGTCGTGGGGAGCTTTGCTGGGGTTGCACCATTTACAATCCAGGCGCGAGGGGGAGCAGAGGCGGGATCCCTCCAGCTCTGTGCACCCCAAACCTGACACCAGTCGGGAGGGAACTGCGTTTGGCTCCCCTCTCGGCCCACCCTTCCCCACCGTCTACTCGGCAGTGAAATGGGCCACATGGCGCGTTCGCGATTATGTATCCGCGACCACCCGCTCCCCTCCCGCTCCCTGTAGCGGTACCTTAGTCAACCCCCACCCCAGACCCTCGGGGAGAACTTGGGAAGCCCGTGGAAAGGGGCGTCCGCGCGCGCTCCGGCCAAGCCGCCCTCCCAGCGCGCAGGCGACCGATGCCGCGCTCCCGGGGAGCGGCCGCCGGTGCAGGCGCGGCAGGCGTTTTCGGTGGAAACCACACACGTTCGTCTATAAGAGGCCGGAGGGGGCACGGAAGCACTGAGGGGGGCGGTCAATGAGCCTTTAAGAGAAAGGCGGGGTCTGCGGAGGGAGCCGCAGGGGGGACCCGAGACCCAGCAGGGAGCCGAGTGGCGGGCGCGGCTGGAGCGAGTCCGCCGGCGCTCCCGCACCCGGAGGGGCGCACGTCGGGAAAGGGCTGGGCGAGTCCTTCGGGCCTCCGAATGCGTTCATGTCCCACCTGGAGCCTGGCACCCGCCCGCAGTGCGCCCCGAATCGCTCGCCAGGTGCGGGCGAAGGGGGAGCCAGGGAGAAAAAGCCCAGGTGGCTTCCCCACACCTGTCGGAGCTGCGGGCTCAGACGCCCCTCCCCGATGCCCCATCCCATCCGCGGGGCTTTCTACCTACACCCCGCGACAGACCAAGGGTCGAAGGGTCCTGACAACCAGACGCGCGCCCTCCCCGAGTCCTTCGTGCCGCAGAGAAGCGCACGGAGGTGCCGGGGGAGCCGGGGAGAGCGGCTGGGAGAGCGGCTGGGCTGAAGCCCGCTCACCTCGCTCACTGGCCTGGATGTAGCGCACGATGTCCTCCAGGTCCAAGTCCTTGGTCTCGTCGAAGCTGTAGGCGGACGTGTGCAGACCCTCCTCCTGGAAGACCTCGTGGACGCCCTCCAGGGTGAAGAAGCAGTTGCGCTCCAGCTTGTCGTCGCTGTAAAGCAGCGCGGCGCGGCTCCACTGGTGGTGGCGGAACAGGGCGAGCATCATCTCGCCCATCTTGGCGTAGGCGGGCGACACGCGCGTG